ATTTTAAATGTTTTAATTTCTGACTTCTATTTTTTGATTTTGGCAAATTTTTTATATTCCAGTTTTGGAATTTTTCAGTCTTTTTATTCTTAAATTTTTCGATTTTTCAATAGCTCGATTTTTCAATTTTTCGACTACTCAATTTTTCGATATTTCAGTGTTGAGATTTTCCAATTTTTCGATTCTTCAAATTTTCGTTTTCTCGATTTCTTAATTTTCCGATTTCTCAATTTTCCAGTTTTTGACGTTTCTAAATATTCAAGTTTTCGATTTCTTGACTTTTCAATGTTTCTTCTAATCTAATACTTTCATTTTTCGTTCCTTGGATTTTTCAGTTTATCAAATTTTCGAATTTTGGGTTGATTTCGAGTTTTTTGATATTTCGATTTCGATGTTTTTTGATTTTTTGACTCCTCGGTTTTAGATTTTTCGGTTTTTTTGATGTTTTGATTTTTCGGTTTTCGTCATTTCAGTTTTGGAATATTTTCAGTTTTTAGATTCTTCAATTTTCCGATTATTCAATTTTTGGGATTATTTAAATTATTATTTTCAATTTCTCAATTTCCTGCTTAATATTTAAATTTTCAGCCAAAATAGGCAAAAACGAGGGCTCAAATAAAAAATAAAATTCTCAGATACACATTTATACACAATTTTCATTTATTTACCTGCGACCAAAATGAAAAAGCTTTCCCCTAGAGTCCGCTCCTTAGTTATCAAAAATTCAGGCGGCTGCTTGAAAATATCTGGCAACTTTATCGCGGTTGTCGAAAGTACAGTCGATGTTTCATACATGCATGAGGGGTTGTCGACGCGTAAATCTTTCCAGGGTGCTCTTGTGCCCGGAATGGGAGGAAAGTTGTATGAAAAATAAACAAGAGGCGTGCTGGTGCGGCGGCGGAGTCACGTTCGTGCCGCTGGGGGCAGCTGCGCCGCCCCGGGTCGTTCCCACGTATAAGGCGGCGGGAGCTAGGAGATTTGGATACAAATGTGTGTTCAAGAATTTTTGATCAGCGTGCTTTAATCATAAAATTACCGAAAACATCACCGGATCAATGTTGTCGCAAGCGTTTATTCTGTTTGAGCTCGGCTTGCAATGATTCCGAAACGAGGACGATTCTCTGGAGGATTTTTTGTGTGCTTGAAAATGGACCGCTTTCGCTGCTAAACTCTCGAGTGAAGTGAGCGTTTTAAAAAATTTACTTGTTTACGAGTTCGAAAAGCACAAATTTGTCTTCAGTTTTTCGATTTGCGTTTTTTAAAGTCGACCAAAATCCGCAAAATCGTTGTTTTAGTCGTTTCACGCATGTAAAACCCGCGATCGCTTTCTCGTTCCAGAAATAAATTCCCTCAGCCGTCTTTTCTCTATCCACACCAATTTATTTTTCAAGCTGTAATGTTCTTATCATAACGAAATAAAGCTTTCCGCGATATCTTTTCCTTCCCGGGTTACTTTCTCGTTTATTTTCCACTTTAATCCTCTTCTTTTACTCTGCAACAGCACAAATGGATTTCCTGTCGGTCGTTCAACCTCCCCCATTAGGAGTTAATCGCCCGAAGCCGAACGCAACAAATAAATCACGACGATCCCAGAATTTATGAAAATATCGGTGGTGCTATCGATCCCGGTGCTAAGTCGCTAGTTGTACTTGTTAGTTGCAAAGTTTGCCGAGTGAAATCTGAATACCGTAAATTCACCAGCGAGCGCGGTAATTGTACGTCTAGCCAGGAACTTCTGGATATATTACATGGAAATTCCAAGAGATCGAGATCCGGAATTACGGGACTTCGAAACGGTTAAATTAACTCCGGAAAATCTGGGCGAACTAGTTGCATTATCTTTGATTGTGCCCACTTTCAAATAAATAACTCCCATTCCTCGTTCCATTTTGGGCTGGCTACGATTTTAGGAAAATTAATGCTTAAGGGGGGCGCCAATTTTTGCACTTTGGGAAAGTCCATTCGAAAGATCCGGGAGTAAAAAAAAAAGCCAAAAAATAAGCCCCACATTTTCCATTGGTTGTCAGACCAAGGGGCGGAGCGTAATTACAAAATCCATATTTCCTGTTTTAAACATGTTTTAAGTTTCTTGTTGTGAAAAGAAGACTAAGAATAATAAAAAAAAAATTGGTCTAAAGAGTTTAGACAGTACTTCCCTCGCTGTCGGAAACTTGACGACTGCATGCCTATTGTGTTTTTTTTTCTCATTACATTTTTGTAGTGGGAATTTAAAAAAAAATTGTGATGACGTCATCAACATTTTTGCAAGGACACGTATATCAGTTGGGATAGATGTAGTGTAATACTAAGAATAAAATTATTGTATTCCCAAATTTTCGGGAAAATGAATTGGGTCGTTTTGAATATTGATTTCTTATAATCAATAAAATAATGAAACAATTTACTCACGTATACGGCGCCGGTGTGTAATATCTAGAGAGCGGATTTCTGTCGGGCTAGGCAAGGCCAAACTCGGTACGGCTCGTACGGGATGCGAATTCATTGCGGTTGCGGACTGCACTTCGTTTATTTGAGATTAGAATAACGCTGTTTCGTTGCACTCGGCTGTTAATTCCCGTTCTCATTTACTTAGCCGTTTGATTAACGAATCGTTAATTATATTTATGGAATTAGTACCGATTAAATTCAGTGATTATCTATCACCCGGCGATCCAGCACGTCCCCCCCTATAATCGTGACGTAGCCTGACAGAAATCCGCCGTCTAGTAATATGAGGGGCAACTGAAAATCGTTTATGTATAAACATTCTTAATTTAAGATGACAAGGGTAACAGCATACGTGAGAGTCAAACAGAGAAACTGTAAACAAAACGACCATCGGTTTTATTGCTTCGACTTCCGCTTATTATATAAAACATTGGGTTTTATTTTAATTCTTGACGGTGAAATTCACAATTGGTTGATTATAAACATGTCTATTTCGCATTCGCGGAACCAAGTGACCGCATAAAACAAATGGAGATCTGTAACGTTAAAGTCGATGTAAATAAGCGTGCTACCCTTATGTTTCAACCGAGTTTTTCCTTTAACAAATTTTGTGTCTACCAAATTGGGTTGGTTGGGGTGTAATACTAATAATAAGTGTTGCCTTTAATTTAATCAATAAAATAAATTGACTTCATTAATTTTTTTGGACCACCTCTTAAGAAAATCTAAAAAATATGAATGGAATGATAAATCACAAGTACAAACTCATCATATTTTTTGCATTTTAGATAGGATTTATTCAGCAAAATTTAAGGGTGACGTCATCAATTTTTTTAGGAGGGATGAACAAATACATTTTGAACAAAAGTTTACCATGCTTATAATAACTTTAAAATATTCCCAAGATTTCAAAGCATTCGGTTTTGTAATTCCTGATTAAATCGATAAAATAAATTCACGCCTTCATTAATTTTTTTGAGTCACCCTGCAAATGCAATTCCAAAAATATGAATGGAATGATAAATCACAAGTACAGACTCATCATATTTTGTACATTTTAGATACGATTTATTCGGCAAACTTTTGAGCTGACGTCATCAGTTTTTTGTAGAAGATAACCAAATATATTTTGACTAAAAATTTATTATGCTCTTTATCACCTTAAAACATCTGCAAGATTTCAAAGCATTCGGTTTTGTAGTTCCTGATTAAATCAATAAAATATATTTACGCATTCATTAATTTTTTTGAGTCACCCTGTATATGCAAATCCAAAAAATATGAATGGAGTGATAAATTACAAGTATAGACTCATCATATTTTTACAGTTTAGATAGGATTTATTCGGCAAACTTTCGAGCTGACGTCATCAATTTTTTGGAGGGGATAAGCAAATATATTTTGACTAAACATTTATTATGCTCTTTATAACCTTAAAACATCTGCAAGATTTCAAAGCATTCGGTTTTGTAGTTTCTGAGTAAATCAGTAAAATAAATTTACGCATTCATTAATTTTTTTGAGTCACCCTGTATATGCAAATCCAAAAAATATGAATGGAGTGATAGATCACAAGTACAGACTCATCATATTTTGTACATTTTAGATATGATTTATTCCACAAACTTTTGAGCTGACGTCATCAAGTTTTTGGAGGGGATAAGCAAATATTTTTTGACTAAAGATTTATGATGCTCTTTATAGCCTTAAAACATCTGCAACATTTCAAAGCATTCTGGTTAGCGGATTTAAAATTAAATTACAAAATGTTGTTTTATAATTTTGATTTTTTTTCCAAAAATCTGGACGTTTCGGGTGAAAAGTCGATTCAGAGTTGTAAACTACATGTGTAGGACTATGTTATTTTATACAATTGAAAACCCATTTACTATCTACAATTTTGAAGTGACGTCATCGCATTAGTGGTGGGGATGATTAGACAAATTTTGGTTAGCGTTTTACCATCTACATGATATTCTTAATATAAGTACAAAATTTCACAACAATCGGTCAAGTACTTTCGGAGATTATCTGTCTAATAAAAATCCGGGACGGCAGACGGACAGACGGACAGACGGACAGATAGACGGACAGACAGACGGAAATGGGAGACCTATTTCTTCGTCTTCTAGGGGTCATGAAAGATCGAGAAAACGTAAAAGTAGAGAGTCGGCCGACGGACTCGATTACAATACTTCCTTTGCTTACGCTCGGGAAGTAAAAGCAAAATATAAGCTGATTACAAAATATCGACTCATCGATTTTAATTAAGATTTGTTCTTAGTATAAAATATGTAGATTTTTATATATCAGCAATGTTCTTAACTCGTAATTCATATATTTATCAAATGCAAAGTACTGAACTAAGGAACAAAATTTTAACATCTTGAATATACAGGGTTTTTATAAATGTAGTTGGCCAAAAACCACACTTTGTCATGCGTCCTTGACCATTTAGTAAAGTTCAAAACTGAGAGGCGGCACGTTTTCATGACCTACTTCGACCATACAATCATTTACACACAATTTGATTGATTTTTGTGTTCTTGCAGCCGCCAGCATCCACACCACCAAGGGCTTCGGCGGCTACCGCACCTCCACCTGCATGCCCGGCTCCCACCTCCGCTTCCTCGGTCCCTCGGTCAAGATCGCCGTCCCCTTGACCATCCTCTGGGCCACCGCCTGCTCCTTCCTCGCCATCCTCATCCTGCAGTCCACCAAGGTGCTCAGTTGCTACCGCAACAACATCTGCGTCAGCGAGGTCAACCCCTACGACGACAAGAACGACCTCCTGGTGCTGGCGGCGGCAGAGCTGCTGCTCGCCGTCATCACCTTCCTCGCCGTCTTCCTGCTGCTGAGGATCGACTGCAAGTACGACCCCGACTGATCGGCGCCGCCCCCCGACCCCCAGGGGACCGGTGTGGGGGTCAGCGTCATCGGGGGGATCGGGGCGTTCTCGATGCCGGCCACTACGACTACTACTTGTGATAGGGTTGGGAGGATAGCGTGGGTGGTGTAGGAGTTGAGGAGACTGATAATAGCGGTGTTACCGCACCTGTTAGGATATGTTGTGTCGTATATGTGTCTGCTGAAGCAGATTTAATTATTAAGCAAAATTATCGTATTTATGCAACTACAAATTTTATGTTTGTTGTCGTTGACTGTTGGATATATATTTTGGTGTTTTGGAGTGGTAAATGATTTGTTCTTAATTGGTTCGTAGTTAGCTTTATTTAAATGTACACAGTGTTGTCTAAGTATATATGGACCACTCGAACCTCTAAATTTGACTATTTTAACCCACACGTGTTAGAAAATTTTACGTTTTTTTTTTAAGTTTCATTATCCTATAAATATCAAAGATAATATTTTTATACTCTTGTACGTTTCTTCTTTACTTTAGTATTAATTGTGCACATTTTAATTGTTCGAGATAGTGTTTAACATCTAATAAAATGTTCTAATATGAGTGTTCATTATTTACGACAACTAAAACCTAATACCCGATATTTTTCGTTTCCAAAAAAACGAAGAACACTTTTTTGAAAAACTTAAGAAAAATTAATTTGATAAGATAAGACTGATTTTGGCAGATGATATACTACTTAAAGAAATAGAGGGTGGGTGGGCGGGGTAGTACTTGCAAGTAGTAGCTACCGCCAACCTCTTATAATATTAAATAGCAAGTATATCATTTACCAAAATCATTTGTATTTAGGTAAAAACTAGCCCCGCCCACCCGCCCTGTATTTCCTTAAAGAGTATATGATTTGCCAAAATCAGTCTTATCTTAACAAGTACTAGCCCCGCCCACCCACCCTTTGTTTTCGTAGAGGCTATGTGATTTGCCAAAATCATTCTTATCTTGTTCAAATAGGTAGCCTTTATTTATTTATTTATTTATTTATTTATTTATTTATTTATTTATCTACATTTTAAATATTACATTATGCAGATTGTTGCTCTATGTACTGAATTAAGAAAAAAAATACTAGCACCGCCCACCCTTCCCCTTCTTTTCATTCTAACGACTAATTTGATTGCGTTCAGTAGAACATTAAGAACGGATAAAATCAATCACTGGTGGGCGGGACTAATTATGTTCTTCTGTTGTGTAGGAGTGGAAAAAGGATATGACAAAATGCCAAAATCAGTTTTATTTTATCAAATACTAGCCCCGCCCACCCACCCTCTATTTTCTTGGAAACCATGTGATTTTCCAAAATCAGTCTTATCTTAACAAGTACTAGCCCCGCCCACCCGCCTCTTTTTTCTTAGAAGATATCATTTGCCAAAATCACTCTTATCTTCGGAAGAAAAGATTTTGGCAAATGATATACCGTCCAAGAAAATAGAGGGTGGGTGGGCGGGGCTAGTATTTGATAAGATAAGACTGATTTTGGCAGATGATGTAATACTTAAAGAAATAGAGGGCGGGTGGGCGGGGCTAGTACTAGAGGAACCCAAAATTATTTCAAACCCTTTCAAAATTATCAGGAGCCCCCAATCTTTTCAAACACTTTCACAAAACACCAGAAGCCTAAAGTGACAGAACTTCCCTCGCACCTGAAATGCAACCCAATCCGGCTTCTTCGAAAAATTACAAAAAAAATGCGATTTTATAATTTTTTGTTTTTTCAATTTCAATTTTTTAAATTTTTCGATTTGCAATTTTTATTTTTTTTATTTCATTAATTTTACGAGATGCATCTTCCCGAGTTTTCATATTTAAATGTTCCTGTTTTCCGAATTTCCAACTTTTGAATATTTAAATTTTTAGATTTTGCAATTTTTCGATTTGCAATTTGACGAATTTTGAATTTTTTATTTTTCAGTTTATTATAATTTGTTAAATTTTTCAGTAGTCCGATTTTCTAATTATTCTTTTTTTCAATGTGAAATTTTCCAATTTTTGGATTTCTCAATTTTTCGACTCGGAATTTTTCGGTTTTCAATTTTCGATTTTTCAACTTGATTTTTCAGTGTCTGGTTTACTGAATTTTTCGTTTCTTCAATTTTTGATTTGCAGTTTTTCTAGTTTTCATTTTAAATATTAAGTATGACGATAATAACTACTAGTCTAATTTTCCGGTTCAATTCGGTTTTTCTTCTTTCTTTTTGGATTTCTAAGTTTCACGATTTTTAGTTTCTCAATGCATATTTCAATTTTTCCGATTTTTAATTAATTGTTTCGATTTTCCAATTTTACGAATCAAAAAAATAGAAAAAGTGCAAAATTATGAAAAATCAGAAATTAAAAACCGAAAAGTTATAAAAAACATCTAGACAGTGGAAATCAAGAACTTGAAAAATTGAATAAAGTAAAAATTTTAAATCGAAAAGCATATTGAAAAAATCAAGAAAATGAAAAAACGAAAAATTGTGATATAAAATCCAGAAAATGAAAATTAAAAAGTCGGTAAAAAGAAGAATAAAAATCATGAACTTCAAAAACTGAGAAGCTGAAAAACTGAAACTGAAAAATTGCAAATCGAAAAATTGAAGAAACGAAAAATTGAAAAATTTGAAAGTGGAGAAACTACAAAATTGAAAAAATTAAAGTTGCAAAAACGAAAAATTATGAAACCGAAACAATGAAAAATGAAAAAAATTGAAAACTGAAGAAAATGAAAAACGAAGGTAAATAAATCCAGATTTTCCGAAAAACCGAAGTATATTTTTCTCGAAAACCAAGAAAAAGTTTCCAAAAATGGTCTAAAGTCATATTTATTATATACCGTATTATCAGAAATGACTGAGTCGGTTGGCAGTCCTGCATTTTTAGTTGAAATTGGTATGATAATGTTTTCAATAATTTTCGGGTGTCAACTGTCAAGATTGACAGATAGTTAGCATTTTTAATTTGCATGGTTTAAGTTTCTTGTTGTCGAAATAAGTCTGCACGTATTAAGAAAAAAAGGCATAATGTAGCCCCGCCCACCCGCCCTATCTCAATTGTGATGATTTTTTTTATTCGTCGCGAGCCAAGGGGGCAGAGCTTAACTGCAAAATCCTTATTTCTATACGAGAAATTAAAAACATGTTTTTGAGTATCATATTGTTCAAAGAAAAATATGTATTTTAAGACAAAATTAAAACCAAAGATTAAGCCCCGCCCATACCTGGATCTAAATAGTAATGAAGTTTTCATTCGTTGGCAGACCTAGGGGCGGAGCCTAATTGCAAAATTCATATTTTTTTTCATAATATACATAGTATTCTTTGAACAACACGATACTCAAAAACATGTTTTTAATTTCTTGCAAAGAAATAAGTATTTTGCAGTTAAGCTCCACCCCCTTGGTTCACACGGCGAATAAAAAAATCATCACAATTGAGATAGGGCGGGTGGGCGGGCCTACATTATGCCTTTTTGTTTTAATATGTGTAGACGTCTTTTCACTACATGAAACTTAAAACATGTTTAAAATGGAAAATTTGTATAAGGAAATATCCGTTTTGCAATTAGACTCCGCCTCATAATTACAAAATCCATATTTCCTTACAAAAATGTACCATTTTAACCTGTTTTAAGTTTCTTGTTGTGAAAAGATGGCTATGTATATTAAGAAAAAAGAAAAGGCAAAATATAACCCCCGCCCACCCGCCCTGTTTCAAGTCTGATGATTTTTTTTATTCGTCATGAGCCGAGGGGCGGAGCTTAATTGTAAAATCCTTATTTTTCTACGAGAAATTACCATGTGAAATATGTTCTTAAGTAATCGTGTTATATCAACAAAAAACTAAATGTATTCATTAAAAAAAAAAAATCAAAAAAGAAGCCCCACCCATCCATCTCAATCTCAATCGTGATGAATTTTTCATTCGTTGTCAGACTAGGGGCGGAGCGTAATTGCAAAATCGATATTTCCGTATCCAAATTTACGATTTTAAACATGTTTTAAGTTTCTTGTTGTGAAAAAATGACTACACCTATTGAGAAAAAAAGGCAAAATGTAATTCACAGTTACTCCGTTATGCCAACATAAACACAAGAAAAGTTCACAATTTTGTTTAAAAATTACTGAGTCATTTCTGATCTCGCGGTATATAATTAAGATTGTGACATTAAACACGAGCACCACATCACAAGAACTGAAATCACCAAATCGATGCCAAAAATCACCAGATTCGACGAAAACTTGAAAATTCTCTTCTTAGAGGCGAAAAAAACTACTTTGGTCCATAATGATTGCGCTATTCTTTCTACTTCGCACTGTCATAGGCACTGTTTTCTATTTTTAAATAAAAATTGTAATTTTTCAAATTTTAGGGAATTTTGTCTTGGTTGGTACCGCAAATGTCATTGTGTAAAATTTGAAGTTTACATTTTCACAGTACTAATTGTTCTAGCAATGTGTGAAGCTGAAACCAATCTTACAATACACGTAATTACCACACCGAATTAATTACGGAATTAACTGCGTCACAGTAACTCCAATCTTGAATCTAGTAACTTTTTCTTTTGGTTTTTGCACCCTAAAACGCAACCTTGAATCTGTCAAAGCAGTCAAAGTGACCGTTCGTAACCTCCTACCGGAACTGTTCCCGCAAAACAAATCCTCGTGTTTCATATACCGCAAACCAAGAATGTCCTCTCTCGGCACTTGCGAAACCCCTGGTTGTGAAAACGGCGCCAAATTACAGTGCCCCACTTGCCTCAAACTCGGCATCCAGGGCTCGTTCTTCTGCTCGCAAGAGTGTTTCAAATCCAACTGGAAGAACCACAAAATCATCCACACTCTAGCCAGTAAGTAAGGTTAGGTAGGTAAGCCCCCCGTACTAAAAACAGCCCCCGTTTCGCAATTCCCGTTAAACCGAATTGCAATTTCCAGAGGGCGAACAGCCGGATGGCAGCAAAGAGACGTCTTACAACCCTTGGCCGTATTATACCTTCACAGGGCGGCTGCGCCCCTTCCCCCAGACCTCCAAGCGCACTGTCCCCGGCCACATCGGCCGGCCGGACTACGCCGACCACCCCCAGGGCTTCCCGTTGAGCGAGCAAGCTGTCAAAGGTTCGGGGCAGATCAAGGTCCTCGACGACGAGGAGAAAGAAGGGATGGTGGTGGCGTGCAAGCTGGGGCGGGAGGTGCTGGATGAGGCCGCCCGGGTTTGCGACGTGGGGGTGACGACGGACGAGATCGACCGGGTGGTGCACGAAGCCTGCATCGAGAGGGAGTGCTATCCTTCGCCCCTAAATTATTACGAGTTCCCGGCGTCGTGCTGCACGAGCGTCAACGAGGTGATCTGCCACGGGATCCCCGACACCAGGCCCTTGAAGGACGGGGATTTGTGCAACGTGGACATCACGGTCTACCACAGAGGGTTTCATGGAGATCTGAACGAGACGTTCTTCGTGGGGAACGTGGGGGAGAAGCACAAGGATCTGGTAAAAGTGACGCACGAGTGCCTTATGAAAGCCATAGCGATTGTGAAGCCGGGGGAGAAATACAGGGAGATCGGGAACGTGATCCAGAAGCACGCTCAGGCGCATGGGTACTCGGTGGTGAGGAGTTACTGTGGGCACGGGATTCACAGGTTGTTCCACACTGCACCCAATGTCCCCCACTATGCAAGTATGTTTATAAATTTAACACCGTCTGATTTCTTACTCTGATTTTATTATGATAGAAAACAAAGCGGTCGGGGTGATGAAAGCTGGACACTGCTTTACCATAGAGCCCATGATTTCCATGGGGACTTGGCGCGACGAAATGTGGCCCGATAAATGGACCGCCGTGACGGCGGACGGGCAATGGTCGGCCCAGTTCGAACACACGCTTCTGGTCAATGAAACAGGCTGTGAAATCCTCACGAGACGTCGGAACGCTGATGGGAGCCCCCATTTCATGGACAAAATATAAAAGCCGCGGTTCTTTCAGGTTTAAATCTACGGAATTGTAATGTTGAATAAATTAGTTTGCACCATGTGGTTCCCATTGTCGCTGGGTGACTTACCCACAACGAAAAACATCGCCCAAAATCAATAAGCAAAAAAAAAACAATATCAAAATAAATACCAAACCACATAAAAACTAAGAAAAACACTTTCCAAAAATTTCCCTGTTTACCAATTTTTTCGAAATTAAGCAAAAAAAACGTATGCGAATTTCCTCAAATTTTGATTTGGAAGACATTTTTGTATTTTTATGAATGGCCAATTTTGCGTTCCTTAAATAAAAAAAAAATCGTTTTTAGAAACTACAGTCACTTCTTTGACTTCTACAAATTTCCAAAATTATCTATAAATAAATTTATCGTTAACAAAAAAATTCCCAAACTTAACTTGAAAACAATTGTAATTGAGAAATCGAAAAATTGAGAAATTCAAACACTAATATATTTAAACATAAATCTCATGGCGCCAAATTTAAAATTACGGAAAAAAAAATCTGCCATGTTTTTCACTCCATTGGTAGCACTGCAATTGGCAGCAAGAAAGATCATTGAGTAAATTCTCACTGTCAACGTCAATTTTAACAAGTCAGGTAGAGAAACAGGTCTACCAACTTCAAACAAAATTCAGTGATACCAATTGAAACAACTCTTGCTGATAATGCTGTACAATATAGGGATTTTGGTACTTGGAGCTGCCAATTTGACAAGTCATGCCAACATAAAATCTTAATGGTTGCCAACTTAATGTCAAAAGTCACTGGAAATATTACTCGAGATAGGCAACCAGTAATCCAAAATATTAATGTTATTGTTTCTTTCTTCATCAAGTGAACACTGTAAGCCAGATTACCGACTTCCATAAATCAGAAAAATTTAAATTAACATTAAATTAACAAATTGCCGTTGCTTCCAGTATAAGTTGTTTTTTTTCCTGATTTTGGTAAATGACATAGCCTCTAAGAAAATAAAGGGTGGGTGGGCGGGGCTATTGCTTATTTATAAAAGACCCTGTAGCAATTTAAATTTTAAAATTTCGATCATATGTACAATGGGCTAAATTTTTAAAGATTTTACGACAAGACTTTGAAGTGAAGTGAGAAAACGTAAAACCAAAAAGTCGAAAAATGAAAAAAAATCGAAAATCCGTGACGTTGACAAATCGAAAGGGTAAAATTTAAAAAAATCGAGAAGCTAAAATATAAAAAAAAATAGAAATCGAGAAACTGAAAACAATCTCAAATTTAAAAAATCGGAAATTTGAAAAATCGAAACATCGAAAATTAAGAAATCGAAAAATCGAAAATTTAGAAATGCCACAAACTGAAAAATCCAAAAATTTAGAAAGCAAAATTGCTACATAGGAAAACAGAAATCGAAGAACTAAAAATTCGAGAATTCGAAATATGTAACAAAAAAATTCGAAAATTGAAATACTGAAACTGAAGATACGAAAACTTGAAAAATCGAAAAAACCGAAAAGTCGAAAAATTTTAAAAATCAAAAAACCGCAAGGTCGAGAAATCGAAAATTCTAAAAATTGAAGTCTATATCAAAAAATTGTAAATCAAAATCCAAAAATTAAGAAATCGAGAAATCGAAATTGAAAAATTTAGACTTCAAAAAAACGATAAATGAAAAGTCGAAACATCGAAGTTTCGATGAAAAGATTAAAAAATTTTAAAAATCGAAAAATTGAAAAACTGAAAAATCTGAAAGCGAGAAGTAGAAGAATCAAAAGATAGAGAAGTCGAAACATCAAAAAATGAAAAGTGTAAAATTTAAAAATCCGAAAAATGGAAGAATTGAAAAAATCGAAATTCGAAAATAAAAATTTCGGAAAACTGAAGAAGCGAAAATTTGAAAAATCGAGAAATTATAAAACCGAAAATTCTAAAAATTAAAAAAATCGAAAAACTGAAAAACAAAAAATTAGTTCGGGGGACCAAAATATCGTAACTTGAATTTACGTTACGACCTTGAGATGTGGACACATAATTTTGACTTTTGAAATAACGAAATTATGTGTTACATTTTTGTAACAAAAACTATGCTCTTAATCATTAAATTAATCTTTATGATTCCTTTTCAGTGCAAAAAATTTCGTTGTTTAAATCAAATTTGTTATCCCTAAAAATTTTGGCAAAAAAGTTTTAAACCGTGTCAGAGATAGCAATTTAACTTAAAATCTACCTGAACAAGAGTAAAATCCACTAAAAACATAATAAAACTGATAAAACGTTGCACTGAAACCATTTTGATATACCTGAAGTTAGCTTTTTGGGTCAAAGTTACCACCAACAAAAATAAATAAAATTTTCTTTCGTACTAAACAAAAAAAAGTCTTTTTAAATGTAAATAACAAGTAAATCAAAATGCACGTCTCATTTAATTTTCAAACTTGAACAAAAGACAAAATTTGTGTTTTTGCAACCAACAATTGTCCAAAATTGATAAATTTCGTTAGTTGGCTTTGGCTAATGATTTTGAGAGAAATACCAGCAAATTTCGTTGTTGAGATCGAGTTCGCGGTTAAAAATTTACCAAAAACTTTTAAACTACACAAAAGACGATTAATTTAAGCAAAATCTTACTTGAACACCGATGTTCTGTGAAAAAATCCGACCGAAAACACAATAAAACGTTGCAAAGAAACCATTTTGAAAAAGCTGAAAGACTCGAAGTACCTGAATTTGGCGCGCTCTGTCAAAGTTACTACCAACCAAACATGAATACAATTTTCTTTTTAACGCTAGAATTAAATAAAGTCGGTTTAAATAATGTGAATTGTCCAAAAGTGTTAAATTAACATTTCGCTAGTTGGCTTTGTCACAGTAGGCTTTGTGTAATGATCGATGTGTTGAAATCAAATTCGCGGTAAAAGTTTAGCACAAACTACGCAAAAGACGATTCATTTAACCAAAATCTTACCTGAACACCGATTTCCTGTGAAAAAATCCGACCAAAAACACAATTTTTCGTTGCACAGAAACCGTTTAGAAAATCTGAAAGAGTTGAATTACTTGAAGTTGGCGCGCTCTGTCAAAGTCACTACCAACCAAAAATAAACACAACTTTCTTTTGTACTGAGGAATAAAATAAGTGGAAATCTAGAATAAAATAAAGTTTTTTTAAATGTAAATAACAAGCAAATAAAAATTTAAATCGAATATCTGTGGCCATTTTTATTCTATTCAATTTTCAAATTTGGATCTGACAACAAATGAAAAATGCATCACAATTGAGAATTGAGATCATGATACACAAAAACATGTTTTTAATTTCGCATAGAGAAATAAGAATTTTGCAGTTAAACTCCGCCTTCTTGAGTTACGACGAATAATCACAATGGAGATAGGGTGGGTGGGCGGGGATACACTTTTCCCTTTTTTTTTCTTAATATGTGTACACTTATTTTGACAACAAGAAACTTGAAACATGTTGTTAAGTTTCATGTTGTGAAAAGAAGTCTAAAAGTATTAAAACAAAAAGGAAAAATGTAAGCCCGCCCACCCGCCCCACCTCGATTGTGATGATTTTTTTTATTCGCCCTGAACCACGGAGGCGGAGCTTAACTGCAAAATACTTATTTGTTTACAACAAATTAAAGACATGTTTCTCATAGAGAAATAAGAATTTTGCAGTTAAACTCCGCCTTCTTGAGTGACGACGAATAAAAAAAATCATCACAATGGAGATAGGGTGGGTGGGCGGGGATACCCTTTTCCCTTTTTTTTTCTTAATATGTGTAGACTTATTTTGACAACAAGAAACTTAAAATATGTTGTTAAGTTTCGTGTTGTGAAAAGAAGTTTAAACGTATCAAAACAATTAGGTAAAATGTAAGCCCGCCCACCCTCTCTATTTCGATTGTGATGACATTTTTTATTCGCCCTGAACCACGGGGGCGGAGTTTAACTGCAAAATACTTATTTCTTTACAACAAATTAAAGACATGTTTCTCATAGAGAAATAAGAATTTTGCAGTTAAACTCCGCCTTCTTTAGTTACGACGAATAAAAAAAAATCATCACAATGGAGATAGGGTGGGTGGGCGGGGATACCCTTTTCCCTTTTTTTTTTCTTAATATGTGTAGACTTATTTTGACAACAAGAAACTTAAAACATGTTGTAAATTTCATGTTGTGAAAAGAAGACTAAACGTATCAAAACAAAAAGGCAAAATGAAAGCCCGCCCACCCGCTCCACCTCGATTGTGATGAATTTTTTTATTCGCCCTGAACCACGGGGGCGGAGCTTAACTGCAAAATACTTATTTCTTTACAACAAATTAAAGACATGTTTCTCATAGAGAAATAAGAATTTTGCAGTTAAACTCCACCTTCTTGAGTTACGACGAATAAAAAAAATCATCACAATGGAGATAGGGTGGGTGGGCGGGGATACACTTGTCCCTTTTTTTTCTTAATATGTGTAGACTTATTTTGACAACAAGAAACTTGAAACATGTTGTAAGTTTCATGTTGTGAAAAGAAGTCTAAAAGTATTGAAACAAAAAGGCAAAATGTAAGCCCGCCCACCCACCCCACTTCGATTGTGATGATTTTTTTTTTTTTGGCCTGAACCACGGGGGCGGAGCTTAGCTGCAAAATACTTATTTCTTTACAACAAATTAAAGACATGTTTCTCATAAAGAAATAAGAATTTTGCAGTTAAACTCCGCCTTCTTGAGTTACGACGAATAAAAAAAAATCATCACAATGGAGATAGGGTGGGTGGGCGGAGATACACTTTTCCCTTTTTTTTTTTATATCTGTAGACTTATTTTGTCAACAAGAAATTGAAAACATGTTTTAGGTTTCATGTTGTGAAAAGAAGTCTAAACGTATTAAAACAAAAAGGCAAAATGTAAGCCCGCCCACCCGCCTCACGTCGATTGTGATGATTTTTTTTTATTCGCCCTGAACCACGGGGGCGGAGCTTATCTGCAAAATACTTATTTCTTTACAACAAATTAAAGAGGGAAAAGAGAGCAAAAACCGATTTTTAAGCTTTTTTGTCTTGCTTCACTTCTCTAAAAGCTTTAAAAAGATCAAAAACGGAATAAAAACGGGACAAAAAATGTAAAAAAGGTGCCAAAAATAAGTGACAAAACAAGGGTTCAAAAACGACAAAAAATGACGAGAAGAGGGAGGGCAAAAGCGACAAATATGCCATAATACAAAAAAAGAGTGCAAGAAAAAGACAAAAAGCTATTAAAACATACAAAAATCTACCAAAAAATCAATAAAAAGGAGATTAAAAAATCCAATAAGGACAAAAACAAAATAGACGAAAAAAATATTTGACAAAAACTGTCAAAAAAGACAAAAACCGGCGCAAAAATGGTTTAAAAAAACAAAACAGAAAAAGGTGATAAAAAAATGAACAAAAAGTTAATAAAAACGAGAAAAAAAAGACAAATTCTATAAAAAGGGGGAATAACAAAAAACACGAATAAAAAAGAGGACAAGAAAGAGACAAAAAAACGACTTGAAAAATTCAAAAAAGTACCAAAAACACACAAAACAACGAAAAAGCGACATTTTGTATTTTTTGTCATCTTTTGCTCCTCTATTTGTTTTATTTTTAGAAAACGAAAAAAGCAACAAAAAAAAAAGACGGAAAAAGCGACTAAACAAATTACAAAAAACACGCCAAAAAAAGAAAGATAATTAAAAACAAAACAAAAAAAAACTGATTCAAAAATGGAGTAAAAAAGGCGACAAATAAAGTCATAAGAAAAGAGCAAAAAAGCGGCTGATGCGAAGAAGCGACAAAAAGGCAGTTTAAAAAATTTCCAAAAGACACACAACTCAAAAAAAAAAAGAAAAAAACACATGGCAAGAAACGCGAAAAATGCAACAAAAGTAATAACAAAACATGCGAAAAAAGACTTTAACAGAGATAAAAAGAAAACGCCAAAAAAACAACCAAAACGGGAACTAATAACCGAAAAATTGAAAAATCAAAAATGTTAAAAATCGAAAAATTGAGAAACTGAAAAATCTAAAACCGAGAAGTCGAAAAACCGAAAGATCGACAAGTGGAAACATCAAAAAACGGAAAACTCAAAAAATTAAAAAATGGATTTATCGAAAAACTGAAAGATCAGTTAAACTCCGCCTTCTTGAGTGACGACGAATAAAAAAAAATCATCACAATGGAGATAGGGTGGGTGGGCGGGGATACCCTTTTCCCTTTTTTTTTCTTAATATGTGTAGACTTATTTTGACAACAAGAAACTTAAAACATGTTGTAAGTTTCATGTTGTGAAAAGAAGACTAAACGTATCAAAACAAAAAGGCAAAATGTAAGCCCGCCCACCCGCCCCACCTCGATTGTGATGGTTTTTTTTATTCGCCTTGAACCACGGGGGCGGAGCTTAACTGCAAAATACTTATTTCTTTACAACAAATTAAAGACATGTCTCTCATAGAGAAATAAGAATTTTGCAGTTAAACTCCACCTTCTTGAGTGACGACGAATAAAAAAAAATCGTCACAATCGAGATAGGGTGGGTGGGCGGGGATACACTTTCCCCTTTTTTTTCTTAATATGTGTAGACTTATTTTGACAACAAGAAACTTAAAACATGTTTGAGATTTCGTGTTGTGAAAAGAAGTCTAAACGTATTAAAACAAAAAGGCAAAAGGTAAGCCCACCCAGCCGCCCCACCTCGATTGTGATGATTTTTTTATTCGCCCTGAACCACGGGGGAGGAGTTTAACTGCAAAATACTAATTTGTTTACAACAAATTAAAGACATGTTTCTCATAGAGAAATAAGAATTTTGCAGTTAAACTCCGCCTTCTTGAGTGACGACGAATAAAAAAAAATCATCACAATGGAGATAGGGTGGGTGGGCGGGGATACCCTTTTCCCTTTTTTTTTTCTTAATATGTGTAGACTTATTTTGACAACAAGAAACTTAAAACATGTTGTAAGTTTCATGTTGTGAAAAGAAGACTAAACGTATCAAAACAAAAAGGCAAAATGTAAGCCCGCCCACCCGCCCCACCTCGATTGTGATGATTTTTTTTATTCGCTCTGAACCACGGGGGCGGAGCTTAACTGCAAAATACTTATTTCTTTACAACAAATTAAAGACATATTTGTCATAGAGAAATAAGAATTTTGCAGTTAAACTCCGCCTTCTTGAGTTACGACGAATAAAAAAAAATCATCACAATGGAGATAGGGTGGGTGGGCGGGGATACCCTTTTCCCTTTTTTTTTTTAATTATTTTGATAATAAGAAACTTAAAACATGTTGTAAGTTTCATGTTGTGAAAAGAAGTCTAAACGTATTAAAACAAAAAGGCAAAATGTAAGCCCGCCCACCCACCCTATCTCAATTGTGATGATTTTTTTTATTCGCCCTGAACCACGGGGGCGGAACTTAACTGCAAAATACTTATTTCTTTACAACAAATTAAAGACATATTTGTCATAGAGAAATAAGAATTTTGCAGTTAAACTCCGCCTTCTTGAGTTACGACGAATAAAAAAAAAATGATCACAATGGAGGTAGGGTGGGTGGGCGGGGATACCCTTTTCCCTTTTTTTTCTTAATATCTGTAGACTTATTTTGACAACAAGAAACTGAAAACATGTTTTAGGTTTCATGTTGTGAAAAGAAGTCTAAACGTATTAAAACAAAAAGGCAAAATGATTATGTTTATGCAACCAATAATACACATGCACCAGTTTCTTTTGAGTCAATTTAAACCCAGTTTTATTATGCCCAGCTGCTCCCTTCTTACTTTTAAAATTATAAATAAATATTGAAATCAAAATCTCTGAATTGCGTCTCAAAAAATTCGGGAAGGTGGAAAAACGGGACTTTTCGGAAAAATTTCAAACAAGGACCAAAAAATAGGTAACTGAAGAAACTCAACTACTATACTTTGATATATTTCTGCGATACATTGGTGATTAAGCCTTAAACGACAACAGGAACTCTCCTTCCTACATACCCTCCTCCAAGCCCTCCCCCAACCCGCTCGCATTCGCCACAAGGTCCCCGCTCTCATCCACCGTGAAACTCTTCCTCTGGTACGTCTTCTTCATCTGCTTCAACCCCTCCACTTTCGCCCCCCCAAAAATCGCGTCCAAATTAACACTCTGCGTCACCCCCTTCTTCAGAAGCAGCGTATTCCCCTTCTTCTCGATCTTCCCTTCCTTCGCCATCGCCTTCATCTGCTCCTTCGTCAACAGCAGCTTCTGCACAGTCACCGTCTTGTCCCCGATCTTCATATTGAACACCTCCTTGTCCGGAATCGTCCTTATATCCTTCGTCAGGTGCTCGATCGAGTGAATCGGTTGTGTTATCTTCGACAAAGGGGCGACATTGCTTTGCTCGATATTGATCTGGGGGAGCTTCGGCCTGTCCGGGACCGACTTCCTCGAGTACACTTTCGTGCCTTCCGAGCGCACGATCGGCTTAATCGCGTCCTCTTCGTGCAGCTCCTCCTCCTGAGCTTCTTCCGACACTTCCGGACTCTCCTCCGCCTCCATGCTCTCCTCCATGTCCGAGCCTAGCTCGTCCTTCAAGAACTCCGCGTAGTTCTTGATCTTCGTCGCCCGCTTCGACCGCCGCACCACCTCCGGGTTGTTCATGTCGTTCGTGATCGTGAACTCCGCTATGTCGTCTCCGGAGTAGTCCGAATTGTCTTCGTCGTTGTCGTCCCTCGACACCGCCGCCTGCCGCGCCTCCGCCATCACCTCCTGCTCGATCTGCTCCTCGTACTCCATCTCGGCGTGCTTGAGCTCGTGGTCCTCGAGCTGTTCCTGCGTTTCGAACGAATAGTCGCATTTCTCGCAAGGGAATGGTAAGTCCGACAGGTGCGTGGTGATGTGCTCTTTCACCTTGACGACGTTGTCGAACTCGGTGTTGCAGATGACGCACTTGAGGTTCACCATGGAGTGGATGGCGCTGTGGTTGATGAGGGAGTCCTTCCTCCGGAAGGACATGCTGCAGATGTCGCACTTGTGCTGGCCGATGGGGGGCAGATATGGGGATTCGGGCTGCTGGGCGGCGTAGTGGCTGCGCATGTGGCGGGTGAGGTGGTGGCTTAAGAGGAAGGTGCGGCCGCACATCTTACAGGGGTAGGGGCGAAGCCCGGCGTGAGAGGTCACGTGACGCGTGAGTTTGATGGCGGATGTGAAGCTGGCTTCACAGTAGTTGCATTTGTGGGGTTTGACGTTGCTGTGGGTTTGCTCGTGGCGCTCGAGCCCCTGCAAACAATAACAATATATGAATTTTGTCCCACTGTATTTCAAAAATTGCTGGAAGTACACGGGACCAACACTAGTGGTAACGGTGGAGTTAAGTAAGGGTGAAACCTGGGTCCGCTTTGTTTAGTATTTTTTTCAACGATGGGGATTTTTTTTCGAGATAGTTTCGCCAAAATGGAGCTGTAGTGTAAGTAAAATAAATTAAATCTTAATAAAGAAAGAACAAATTAAAGGGAACAAGCGAAAATATGCAATGAAAATGGATTTTTAAGCTTTTGCCTTACTTTACTTTCTATTTTCTTCTTCTTTTTTTTAGAAGACGGAAAAACTTGAAAGCACAAGGATAAAAAAAAACGAAAAAAGCTTTAAAAAGACCAAAAACGGAATAAAAACGGCACAAAAAATGTAAAAAAGGTGCCAAAAATAAGCGACAAAACAAGGGTTCAAAAACGACAAAAAATGACGAGAAGAGGGAGGGCAAAAGCGACAAATATGCCATAATACAAAAAAAGAGTGCAAGAAAAAGACAAAAAGCTATTAAAACATACAAAAATCTACCAAAAAATCAATAAAAAGGAGATTACAAAATCCAATAAGGACAAAAACCAACTTTTTGCCACTTTTGCGTCTTCTTTCTCCTTCTCTTCTCGTCTTCCTTTTTTAGAAAGGAAATGAGCGCTATAAAAACGACAAAATAGACGAAAAAAATGTCACAAAAACTGCCAAAAAAGACAAAAACCGGCGCAAAAATGGTTTAAAAAAAGGTGATAAAAAAAAATGAACAAAAAGATAATAAAAACGAGAAAAAAAGACAAATTCTATAAAAAGAAGGAATGACAAAAAACGCGAATAAAAAAGAGGACAAGAGAAAAAAAAAACGACTTGAAAAATCCAAAGAAGTACCAAAAACACAAAAAAAGGAAAAAGCGACATTTTGTATTTTTTGTCATATCTTGCTCCTCTATTTGTTTTATTTTTAGAAAACGAAAAAAGCAACAAAAAAAAGACGGAAAAAACGACAAGAGACAAAAATGCGACTAAACAAATTAAGAAAAACACGCCAAAAAAGAAAGGTAATTAAAAAACAAAACAAAAAAAAAACTGATTCAAAAATGGAGTAAAAAAAGGCGACAAATAAAGTCATAATAAAAGAGCAAAAAAGCGGCTGATGCGAAGAAGCGACAAAAAGGCACTTTAAAAAATTTCCAAAAGACACACAACTCAAAAAAACAAAAAGAAAAAAACACATGGCAAGAAACGCGAAAATTGCAACAAAAGTAATAATAAAACATGCGAAAAGAGACTTTAACAGAGATTAAAAAAAACGCCAAAAAAACAACCAAAACGGGAACTAATAAACCGAAAAATTGAAAAATCAAAAATGTTAAAAATACAAAAATTGAAAAACTGAAAAATCTAAAACCGAGAAGTCGAAAAACCGAAAGATCCACAAGTGGAAACATCAAAAAACTCAAAAAATTAAAAAATGGATATATCCAAAAAGTGAAAAATCTAGAAATGGAAAATGTAAAATTAAAATATCGAAAAATTGAAACACTGAGAAATGGCAAAGTCGAAAAATTGAAAAATTGAGAAATAGAAAAGTCGAAAAATGAAAAATTAAAAAAAAAATAAAAATCAAAAAATGTGAAAGTTGAAATCAAAGAATTGAAAGACTGAAACACTGAAAAGTCGAGAAATCGAGAAGTGGAAAAGTGTCGAGAAATTAAGAAATCAAATTCTTCGAAAATTTAGATAAGTCGAAAATTGAAAAATTCAAAAACCTGAAATTTAAAAATCGAAAAATCGAGAAATGGAAAAATCGATCCATCAAAAGACAGAGAAATCAAAAAGTTGAAAAAAAAATCTAAAAATTGATGATAATAACAATAATAATAATAATAACTGATGTGACAATCGCAGTTATAGAAAAGTCAAATTTTCAGATTAAATAGATAAAATTGGCTGAAGAAATGGAAACAGTTTAAAATCGAAAAGTTAAGAACTGAAAAATTTTAAACTAAAAAATATTGAAAAATCGAAAAATTTAGAAACCGAGAACTCGAAAAATAGGAAAATCTAGAAATGAAAACATCAAAATGTAAAAGTTTACACATTGAATAATTAAAATGTCGAAAAACTGATGAAAATTGAAAAATTGAAAATCAGGAAATCGAAAATTTGAAAAATAAAAAATTTTAAAAATTGAAAAATCAAAAAAACATGAAAAATCGAAACTGAATCATTGAAAAACTGAAACACTGAAAAATCGAGAAATGGAAAAATCAAAAAATTGAAAGACCCAAAAAATTGAAAATCGTAAAACTAACACATCGGAAAATTGAAAAATCGAAAAATGAAGAAATCCAGAAATCGAAAATTTTAAGAATCGAGAAAGTGTAAAGTACCAAAAAATTGAAAATTGAGAAATGGAAACATCGAAACTTCGAAACACTGAAAACTAGAGAAATCGAAAAGTGGGGGAAATAAAAAATTCGATTAATCGAGAAATTGAGAAAACGAAGAATTACAAATTTAGAAACGTCAAAAACCCAAAAAATCGTAAAATTAAAACATCGGAAAATGAGGAATCGAAAAAATCGAGAAATCGAAAAATTTAAAAATTGATAATAATTATAATAACAATAATACATTTACTGATGTGACTATCGTAGTTATACAAAAGTCAAAATTTCACATTAAATATATAAAATCGGCTGAAGAATTTGAAATAGTCCAAAATGGAAAAATTAAGAATTGAAAATTTTAAAATTAAAAATATGGAAAAATTGAGAAAGTGAAAAATTTAAATCAAAAAATTGAAAAACTGAAAAATCTATAACCAAGAAGTCAAAAAATCGAAGGCTCGAAAAACTGAAAAATCGACAAATTCAAAAATTCCAAAACTGAAATGAAAAATTGGAAAACCGAAAAGCCGAAAAGCCAAAAAATCAAGAACTAGAAACATCAAAAGATCAAGAAATCGAAACGTTAAAAAGTGAAAAAATTGAAATAAAGAAAAATCGATGAATCGAAAAATCGAGAAATTGAACCGAAAACGAGGAAAAGTCGAAAAATTTAGAAACTGAGAACTCGAAAAATCGGAAAATTGATAAATGGAAACATTAAAAAAATGGAAAATCGAAAATCCAAGAGCTCGAAAAATTGAAAAACTAAAAAATCGAGAAATTAATTTTTTTATATAATGAAATATCGAAAAATTTAAAAATCAAAAAATCGAAACATGATAAATTTGAGAAACGGAAAAATTTTAAATTAAAAAATGGAAAAATTGAAAAATCAAAAAAGTAAAAATCGAGAAATCCAAAAATTGAAACATCGAAATATCGAGAAATTGAAGAATCGGAAAATTGAAAACTCTAAAACCGTGAAAAATTGAAAAACTGAACACTGAAAAATCGAGAAATCGTGAAATGGGGAAAATCAAAAAGTCGATTAATCAAAAAACTGAGAAATCGAAGAGATAAAAATTTAGAAACGAAAAAATTGAAGAATTGAAAGATCCAAAATATTGAAAAATCGAAAAACTAAAACATCGGAAAATTATAAAATCGAAAGCACATAAAAATTGAAAATCGAGAAATCGAAACATCAAAAAATTAAAAAAACCGAAAAATCGAAATATCAAAAAAATCGAAAACGCGAAAAAAAAATCTAAAAATTGAAAATAATAATAATAACAATAATACATGTACTGATGTGACAATCTGAGTTATACAAAGGTTAAAATTTAGAAATCGAAATAGTTCAAAATCGAAAAATTAGGAAACTGAACAATAAAAAAATCGAAAGATTGAAATCTCGATCAATCGAGAAATCGAAAAACTGAAGGATCAAAAAACTGAAAAATGTAAAAATTCAAAATTTCCAAAACTGAAATGAAAAATCGAAGACCGAGAAATCGAAAATTTGAAAAAATTAAAACAAAAAAAATCTATAAATCCGGAAATTGAACCGAAAAACCGGGAAATCGAAAATTTGAAGAATCGAGAAAGTAAACTATCAAAAAATTGAAAAATTCAAAAGCTAAACATCGAAAAAACGAAGCATCAAAAGACAGAAATCGAAAAATCGAAAAAAAAGCTGAAAATTGATAGTAATAATACATTTACTGATGTGTCAATACAAAAGTTAAAATTTAAAAATTGGTCCAAGAAATCGAAATAGTACAAAATCGAAAAGTTAAGAATTGAACAATTTTAAACTAAAAATATCGAAAAATCAAAAATTGAACAATCAAAAAATCGAAATCTCGATAAATCGAGAAATTGAAATCAAAAAGTTGAAAAACTGAAAAATCTATAACCAAGAAGTCGAAAAATTGAAGAATCGAAAAACTGAAAAATCGAGAAATTCAAATATTCCAAAGCTGAAATGAAAAATTGAACAAAAATTGGAAAATCGAAAAGCCGAAAAGCCAAAAAACCGAGAAATCGAAAAATTGAAAAAATGAAAACAAAAAATCTATAAAACCGGAAATTGAACCGAAAAACCGGAAAATCGAAAATTTGAAGAATCGAGAATGTAAACTATCAAAAAATTCAAAAACCTAAAATTTAAAAATCTAAAATCCGAAAAATAAAAATTCGTAAAAATTTAAATTTCAAATTTAAAAATGGAGAAATTGAAAAATCGAATAACTCAAAAAACGAAGTATTGATATATCGTAAAATTGAAAAATGGATGAAACATTGAACAATCGAAAAAGTGAAAAATTTCAACAACAGAAAAATCCAAAAACTGCGCTAAAAACTCAACACGGATTCATAAGCCACAAGTACAGGAGAACGTTATTTTTTACTTATTTACTATTGCAAAATTTGGAGACCACGTCAATCCATTTTTAGCAGGAACAAACAAACAGACGAAAACGGGGACCTACTTTTTCCTACTCTAGGCGCCATGAATCCTCGACAAAACTAAAATACGTAAAAAAATCAAACTACCTGTTTGAAGACGAAACTCTTCTGGCAAATCTTGCACATGAACGGCCTCTTCTTCTTATGCTTAGCCGTGTGCGCGTCCAAATCCTCCCCCGTTAAAAAAGTCCTATCACACTGCGAACAGAGATATTTCGGTACGTCGATATGAATTTTCTCGTGCCTGTGTAGCAAAGACTCCCGCGAGAACGACTTCTGGCAGACCACGCAAGTGTAGGGTTTGCATCCCGTATGCGTCAACATATGCTTGCTCAAGTCGTACTTTGTAAAGAAAGCCTTATCGCACTCGTCGCAGTTGTAGTTGCGTTCTCTATTATGGTTAGCTTTGTGGAGATCGAGGAGCTGCTTCAGCGGAAACGATCTCTCGCAGTGCGGACACGGAAAGCAATCGGTTTTCACCTGGTTCACCTTGAGGGTGGGGTTCACCACGGACTCCTCCTCGAGATTCATGAAGTCTTCGTCGTCGGCCCGTTCGCCGCTCGTGTCCTCGTCGAGGGGCTCGTAGGCGTCGCTTTCGAGGGTCTGGTTGTTTTCTTCTTCGGGTAGGCTCGTGGAGTAGTTCAGGGTCACGACGGGGTTCTCTTGTTTGACTTTCTTGGAGTGGTGGAGTTCGTCGGTTTTGTCGACGGCGCGTTTGACGGCTTGGAAGGTCTTGGCTTGCTGCGAGGACATGGAATTAAAGTTAGGGAAAAATGGGGGTTAGAGACTTACTTCGCCGATTTCTTCTTGGGTCCAAGGGCGGGATAGCGAGCCGGTGGCGAGGAAGACCTTGAGGGCGTCGTCGGCTTTCTTGCAGTTGGTCTTGAAGGTGTACGCCTGCTGGGCTTGGGCTCGGCAGGTTTTGCAGATCATCTGGGGCATTCCGTCGTTTTCGAAAACCTGGAAATTTAGACATTATGGTCACAACTTTTGATTCTTTAATTTCGTCAAATTTTCAATTTGTAAGTTTTCGTTTCGGATTTTTATTTTCTTTTTACAATTTTTCGATTTTTTAATGTCCCGTTGTTATATATTTTTTTTCAATTTAAATTTTTCGATTTGCACTTTTACGAGTTTTCAATTTTTCAATGTTCTGGATTTTTCAATTTTTCGATTTTTCAACTTTCAGATTTTTTAGATTTTTCAGTTTCCCGATTTTTCAATTGTTTGTTTACTTTGGAATACAAAAAGGAAAAATTGCAAAATTGAAAAATAGAAAAATCAAAACTAAAAAAACCAAAAAGTATAAAATGAAAATTTTGAAAAAATTAAAAAATTGGGATTCAAGAACTTGAAAAATTAAAAATTGATAAACTTCAAAATCTATAGAAGTGCAAAATCGAAAAAACGAAATATAGTAAAATTGAAATTTTGAAAATTAAAGAAATCAAAAATTAGGATAATTAAGGATAAAGGATCAAGGACGAAGGATCAAGAACGAAGGATCCAGGACGAAGGATCCCGGATCAAGAATAAAGGATCAAGGACGAAGGATTGTCCGATTTTTTAAATTTTCTAATTCTTCGGTTTGGAATTTCACGAGTTTTCGAGAAATTAGTTTTTTATATAATGTTATAAAAAATAAAAATTGAGAAAATGAAATATCGAAAAAATGAAAAATGAAAAAAGTAAAAATAAAGAATTCCAAAAATTGAAACATCTAAAACTGAAAAATCGAGAAATCGTGAAATGGGAAAATCAAAAAGTCGATTAATCAAAAAATTGAGAAATCGAAGAAATAAAAATTTAGAAACGAAAAAATCGAAACATCAAAAGATCGAAAAGTCGAAAAAAAAAATCTAAAAATTAAAACAATAATAATGATAACAATAATACATTATTTACTGATGTGACAATCTGAGTTATACTAAAAGGTTGAAATTTAGAAATCGATATAGTCCAAAATCGAAAAATGAGGAAACTGAATAATAAAAAAATCGAAAGATTGAAATCTCGATCAATCGAGAAATCGAAAAACTGAAAAATTGAAAAATTTAGAAACCGAGAATTCGAAAAATCTGAATTTTTTTATATATTTCAAAAATTTTGAGAATTGAGAAATTAAAATATCGAAAAATTGAATTTTTAAATTTTATAATTCTTCCATTTGCAGTTTCACGAGTTTTCAATTTTTCAATGTTCTGGATTTTTCAATTTTTCGATTTTTCAATTTTCAGATTTTTTTAGATTTTTCAGTTTCTCGATTTTTCAATTGTTTGTTTACTTTGGAATACAAAAAAGAAAAATTGCAAAATTGAAAAATAGAAAAATCAAAACTAAAAAAAAACAAAAAGTATAAAATGAAAATTTTGAAAAAATTAAAAAATTGGGATTCAAGAACTTGAAAAATTAAAAATTGATAAACTTCAAAATCTATAGAAGTGCAAAATCGAAAAAACGAAATATAGTAAAATTGAAATTTTGAAAATTAAAGAAATCAAAAATTAGGATAATTAAGGATAAAGGATCAAGGACGAAGGATCAAGAACGAAGGATCCAGGACGAAGGATCCCGGATCAAGAATAAAGGATCAAGGACGAAGGATTGTTCGATTTTTTAAATTTTCTAATTCTTCGGTTTGGAATTTCACGACTTTTCGAGAAATTAGTTTTTTTATATAATGTTATGAAAAATAAAAATTGAGAAAATGAAATATCGAAAAAATGAAAAATGAAAAAAGTAAAAATAAAGAATTCCAAAAATTGAAACATCTAAATATCGAGAAATTGAAGAATCGGAAAATCAATAAATGGAGGAATGAAAAAATCGAAAATAAAGTATTGATTGATTGATCGAGAATTCAAAAATTTGAAGATTCGAGAAAGTAAGAAATTGAGAAATTGATGAAACGAAAAACTGAAAAATTCCAACGCTGAAGAAAAATCCAAAAACCGGAAATCCAGAAATTGAAAAATCGGGAAGTCGAAAAGTCGAGAAATAAAAAAAGTAAAAAAATTAAAAAATCTAAAACCGTGAAAAATCGTAACTGAAGAAGTGAAAAACTGAACACTGAAAAATCGAGAAATCGTGAAATGGGAAAATCAAAAAGTCGATTAATAAAAAAATTGAGAAATCGAAGAAATAAAAATTTAGAAACGAAAAAATCGAAACATCAAAAGATCGAAAAGTCGAAAAAAAAATCTAAAAATTAAAACAATAATAATGATAACAATAATACATTATTTACTGATGTGACAATCTGAGTTATACTAAAAGGTTGAAATTTAGAAATCGATATAGTCCAAAATCGAAAAATGAGGAAACTGAATAATAAAAAAATCGAAAGATTGAAATCTCGATTAATCGAGAAATCGAAAAACTGAAAAATTGAAAAATTTAGAAACCGAGAATTCGAAAAATCTGAATTTTTTTATATATTTCAAAAATTTTGAGAATTGAGAAATTAAAATATCGAAAAATTTAATTTTTAAATTTTATAATTCTTCGATTTGCAGTTTCACGAGTTTTCAATTTTTCAATGTTCTGGATTTTTCAATTTTTCGATTTTTCAACTTTCAGATTTTTTAGATTTTTCAGTTTCCCGATTTTTCAATTGTTTGTTTACTTTGGAATACAAAAAGGAAAAATTGCAAAATTGAAAAATAGAAAAATCAAAACTAAAAAAACCAAAAAGTATAAAATGGAAATTTTGAAAAATTAAAAAATTGGGATTCAACTTGAAAAATTAAAAATTAAGAAACTTCAAAATCTATAGAAGTGCAAAATCGAAAAAACGAAATATAGTAAAATTGAAATTTTGAAAATTAAAGAAATCGAAAATTAGGATAATCAAGGATAAAGGATCAAGGACGAAGGATAAAGAACGAAGGATCCAGGACGAAGGATCCCGGATCAAGGACGAAGGATTGTTCGATTTTTTAAATTTTCTAATTCTTCGGTTTGGAATTTCACGAGTTTTCGAGAAATTAGTTTTTTTATATAATGTTATAAAAAATAAAAATTGAGAAAATAAAATATCGAAAAACTGAAAAATTAAAAAAGTAAAAATAAAGAAATCCAAAAATTGAAACATCGAAATATCGAGAAATTGAAGAATCGGAAAATCAATAAATCGAGGAATGAAAAAATCGAAAATAAAGTATTGATTGATTGATGGAGAATTCAAAAATTTGAAGAATCGAGAAAGTAAGAAATTGAGAAATTGATGAAACGAAAAACTGAAAAATTCCAACGCTGAAGAAAAATCCAAAAACCGGAAATCCAGAAATTGAAAAATCGGGAAGTCGAAAAGTCGAGAAATAAAAAAAGTAAAAAAATTAAAAAATCTAAAACCGTGAAAAATCGTAACTGAAGAAGTGAAAAACTGAACACTGAAAAATCGAGAAATCGTGAAATGGGAAAATCAAAAAGTCGATTAATCAAAAAATTGAGAAATCGAGGAAATAAAAATTTAGAAACGAAAAAATCGAAACATCAAAAAATTGAAAAACCGAAAAATCAAAAAATCGAGAAATAAAAAATTCGAAACTTCGAACCATTCAAAAACTGAACCATCGAAAAATCGAATTTTTAAATTTTATAATTCTTTGATTTGCAGTTTCACGAGTTTTCAATTTTTCAATGTCCTGGATTTTTCAATTTTTCGATTTTTCAATTTTCAGATTTTTTTAGATTTTTCAGTTTCTCGATTTTTCAATTGTTTGTTTACTTTGGAATACAAAAAGGAAAAATTGCAAAATTGAAAAATAGAAAAATCAAAACTAAAAAAAAACAAAAAGTATAAAATGAAAATTTTCAAAAATTTAAAAATTGGGATTCAAGAACTTGAAAAATTAAAAATTGATAAACTTTAAAATCTATAGAAGTGCAAAATCGAAAAAACGAAATATTGTAAAATTGAAATTTTGAAAATTAAAGAAATCGAAAATTAGGATAAAGGATCAAGGACGAAGGATCATGAACGAAGGATCCAGGACGAAGGATCTAGGATGAAGGATCCAGAACGAAGGATCCCGGATCAAGGATGAAGGATCAAGGACGAAGGATTGTTCGAGTTTTTTAATTTTCTAATTCTTCTAAAATGGTGAAGATAAGTGCCAAAAAAACAAACAAAAATGAATAACTTAAAAAAGGGACAAAAAAGCAATGAAAAAAGACGACAAAAAGGCCAAAAAAAGGACAAAAATTGAAAAAATTATGAACAAAACACAAAGGACAAAAAAGAAAGTCGAAATGAAGCGATAAAACGAGCCACAAAAAAACGAAAAATAACAACAAAACGGCGAAGTGCCAAAAAAGGAACAAAAATGGAAGAAAAATTAATGACAAAAAAAAGTCAAAAAAAAAGACGAAAAAAAAAACAAAAAAAAGACAAAGAGGCCACAAAAAAATTCAGGAAAAAGCCAAAAAAACGACTTTTCTTATAAACAGACGGATAAAACGGTGAAAAAAGAAAGACAGAAAAATGATAAATATGGCAAAAAAGCAATAACAAAACGGCCACAAAAAGATAGAAAGAACGGGAAAAAAAGAAAAACGTCTATCGCTCTTTTCACGGAATAACAGAGGGATAAAAACGATAAAAAAAAGCGAAAAAAGGGTTAAAAACGTCAAAAAATAATATAAAAAAGCGGCAAAGAAAGCGACAAAACAAGATCCAAAAAGGCCACAAAATGAAACGATTAAAAAAGGTGATAATAAAAAACGAAAAAACACTAAAAAATGGCGTTTAAAAACGGTTAAAAAGGGGATAAAAACGGCGAAAAAGGACAACAAAGGAGACGAGGAACAAAAAAAACCGACGAAAAAGAGGTTACATAACTGCGAAAAAAATTACGACAAAAAAAAGGACGACAGAAAAGAAAACTTCACATAAGACGAAATAAGAACCACAAAAAAGTTGGAAAAATGACAAAAAGAAAATGACAAAATGTCCAAAA